TCTGGGATGTGTTGTTGACATTTGAATAATTGAACGTTTGGCGAGTTCGGAATTTCGCAAGATGGCAATGATCTGTTCTCGTGGAGGCTGATTAAAGGAGAAAATACATCATTCTGCACCTGTTGAGGCTTCTGCGCGGGGCCGGCTGCCAGGGGCGCTGTCGTTCCACCGTTCCGTGAAATATGGAGCATCAGCTGTGACACGTGAGGACGGGCCAGTGACGAAGGCGAGAGAGGGCCGGCCTGCACCGTACGTCATGTAGGCAGGCCGAGGTGATCTGTTTATACGCCCGCGACGCCCCATTGCGCAACGCCCACGCAAGCTGAGGAGAGGATCACGATATAAAACGCTGTGTACACATGATAGACAACGCATTTGCGAAGGCGGAACACGGCCAGACGGCGACCGGCTTGCCCTCGAAGAAATTGGCTGCGGGCATGTTTATAACGCGTACATGTCAGTGACGTGTGCTGTGTCACGCTAGAAAAGACAGTCAGAGAAAGAGAGAGAGAGAAAAAGAGATAATCCTCGAAATAATCAAGAAGTAGAACAATCCCATACCGCCGCTAACACTCGGGGCAAGACAGTTCTATGCCCACAAGTGCCCCAAGTTTGTGAATGATTAATTAGAACAACAAATGACTTCCTCGGAGGCAGGGGGCGAGAGAGAGGAGTTTGATGGGTTGATGTTATCGCTCAGTGAATCGTTCATTCTGCTTGGACGAGCGCTGAATTATGGAAAGTGAACAATGTTTGCACAGACTATCGTTCAGTGTTCTCAGTGTTTCAAGAAAGAGTAGCTTTGTTTTTAAACGTTCAAGAACTACGAAGGACTTTGGCCATGAGACTGTATCGGTGTTTTTCAGTGTTTTTGATTTTTGCAGCCGACATTGTTTACGAAAATTGAGGTGATAGAAATCTTTTCTCTTTTTTGGTCTGTGTTTTCCGCTCTCTTTTGTGAACCATAATGAGTCCCGACGTATTTTAAAGGAAATGCGGTGAGACGAAAGAAGGTAAAAAAGGAGCCAATGTCTTCAGATAATTTCTTCCTTTCGCTAATGATGGGCCTACACTAATGACTTTATGTTTCCGTGTTACGTAAATTTTTTCTCGGGCCTTTAATTGATGGGAAATATGTGTTAATTCTCTGGTGGCCGTAGAAAAGTGGTGTTTTTTTGGTCTCTGTGTATTTGGCCTTTGTATTACAGTGGAGATTGCCCGGCCGGAGGATATGTAAACAGACCGATATCAAACAATGTAGAAAGACGATCGCCGCATAGCTGAGCACGCCGTTAGCCATAAAGGTGTTTTTTACCTGCACTGAGCCAGAGCCCCCTCGTGAGGCGTCTGCTGGCTGCGGGTCTTAAAGGGACACGGGGACGCGAGGAGGCAAGTGTCTCGCCAAGAGGACGACCCACAATTCGAGTCGCAGAGCTAACGTGACGCGGCGACCATGTATTCGCGCACGCCGTCCCCGCTGACACCTGAGGCGCAGCGGCTGGGGACGAGGGAGTACATCCGCGCGTTCGATACCGACACGCGGGTGGACGACACGGCGGAGTTCCTCGAGTGCTACTCCCTCGAGCGCGGCCACACCAACGCCAAGATCACCGTGCTCTCCGCGGGGCGACACGGCGGCGCCCCAGACTGCTACGAGGAGTGCGAGCTGGACGGGAGTTACTCGGAGTTCGTGGAGACCCAGTGGGCCAAGGGCAGCGTCAGCGAGGTGGAGCCCATCAGCGACAGCATCCACGGCAGCGAGAGGGAAGTCAGCCATGACATCGGAAGCGACACGGAAAGCGTCGTCGTCAGCGCCCCCTTGCATGGGCCGACGACGGTCAGGTGCGTGTGCGTCTGCAACAAGAAGGGCTGTGAGTATGTCAACAAGCCGTACGATTTGCACAGCATACGAGAGTCGCCCGCGGGCAAGATGTCTCGTCGGTACCGCCTCGTCACCTGGCTGAGGTCCTTCATCCCGCCGACGGCTCAGAGCCCGACGATAGACACGGTGGACGTCGGCTCGAGGGTGTACCCCGAGAAGAAGTCCAAGATCGTGCGGCTGTTCAGAAGTCGGAGATTTCGGAAGAGCGGAGTGAGGGCGCCCGAGGGCGAGGTCGCGCCCAACACGGTGGAGGGCCTCGGCAAGTCCCTCACGAGCCTCAACGTGGTGAAGAAGCCCGTCTTCCCCGGCGAGATGAAGAGACTCAGGGCGTGCGACGTCTCCATCCCGAGGTCCATCGGGGTCATGATCGGGGTCACGCTCATCCTCCTGGGCGTGACCTATGACCACGGGGTAAAGCACGGCGTCGACAACCTCCTGCAGGAGTGTTGGTCGTGGCTCAGGACTAGTTACATGAACTTTGGGGACGAATTTGTCTCCTATAATAGCTTATTCTTTAGAATAACTAACTCAGAGGTTTTAGGAGAACCGTATCCACGGTACGGACTCAATGGCACTAAAAAAGAGAGTTCCAATATCACAAAATTCCAAGAAGCCATCAATAAGGTGGACCCCAAGTTCTTGTTCATCTTAGAGGGTTTAAGATTATCCGTCCAGTTATTCTTCTTCAGTATAAACGACAAAGCCGAGTTAAGCAGCAAGGAAGTGGTCGTCCACGAAAAAGGTCCGCTCTTCTTCCGGATATCCTTCAAGAGAACGGCGGGGCTGCAGGTGGACTACGTGCCCGAGAGGTCCTCCATGACGCTCTCGACGCCCTTCCACGTGTATGACCTCATGAAGATGATAATCACTAGCAATGGTCTTCCATACTTCGGCATGCACATGAACGACTTCCACAAGACGAACCCGTCTGCGCTGCTGACGATGATCATCAACAACCTCAAGAAGTTCAACGTCGACACCACCTTCCTGTCGAGCATCCAGGCCCAGATCTCCAAGGGCAGGGTCAAGCGGTCGCCAGAGGAACCCGACGCGCCAGACGCCACCACGGCCACGCCCACCACGGTGCGGGATCCAGAGACGACCGAGAAGGCGAGCACGCACAACACCTCGATTCCCTTCACGCTGGACATGCCCACGCCGTCGAAGCTGAGGCGCAGGGGCACGGAAGGGCCCAGCACCTCCGGCAGCAGCGTTGCCATGATCACGACGCCGAGGGCCAGCCGGCTCAGGAGGTCCACCGCGGAGCCCAACCAGAGCAAAAGCGCCTGGAGGTCCATTGCAGAGATCTCGAGCAAGATATTCCTGCCGCTTCCTCTGGACACGAAGAAGACGGTGTTGCTGCCCGTGCCCTTCATCGAGAAGAACCTGACGCTCCGCTACCGCCACTCCGTCGACATGCTGGGGCTGCCGGGGTACCAGTTCGTGCTGGGCAACGCCATCGGCAGCGGGGGGGACTCGTCCTCGCGCTCCGAGCTGTACCCCTCCCTCAGCTACTCGAGGGTCAAGGACGGAGAGCGGACGGAGTCTCCCTCAAACACGCACCTCCCGCGACACAGGAACAATGACAGAAGAAAGCACCTCCACAGACACTCCAAGCACCAGAACTTCCTCGACAATGACATGTTCAGGAACAGCTACAATGAGGTTCTGGGCGTCGTGGACCTCGAGCCGCTCCTCCTCGAGACCATCGGGAGGCTGCTGCTCATCGGGCGCTACGTGGAGCGCTACCCCTTCTGGCTGTCGGCGCCCCACTTCCTGTCCCTGACGGACCACATCGGCAGCGCCAACGGCACGGCGTCCGACAAGGGCACCAAGGTGAAGGTGCTGCCGCAGACCAGCTCGCAGCTCAGCCCCACCAACTCCAACCTCCTGCTGGGGGTGAACGGCATCTCCGCCAACGAGTCGCTGCACGGCTCGTTCATCTACTACCACCCCATCCTGGGCGTTCCCATCAATGCCTCTCTCGCCGTCCAACTAGGTATCCGCCCACCGGAGGGGATGCTGCACGCCCACAAGCTGGTCCCCGTCATGTGGGCGAGAATACAGGTCGAGGAGATTCCCCTGAGCCTCTGGTACATCCTGTGGGCGGCGTGCCACCTGCGGGAAACCATCATGGCCTGCTTCATCATCACGGGCCTCCTCGTCATCAGCTGCTCCCTCACCTGCGGCAAGAAGAAGCGGGGGGAGGACGAGGAAAAGCCTCTGGAAGAACGTCCAAACAGTGCCTAGATGTGCTCGCGGGGACGCCGGACGCCTCAGGACCCGACAGACAGACGAGGAGACTGAAGTGAAAAAAAGTGTATATCTGTATCATAAAAGATTTTAATCCTATTTTGGATAACGATGGAGAACGTGAGCCTCATCCTCGCCCTCCTACTCGAATAAGGATGTGTCGAGGGCGAGACAAGGGGCGTGTACCATGGTATATTAAAGTCTTCCTGGAGATTTAATAGATAAATAAATAAAATAAAAGTGTTAATATCGGACACCATTTCTTTTATTTATTATAATTCAACAACACGAGTGTCACGCACAGAGACGCTCATCCAGGCTTTGGGAAAGAAAGAAAGAAAGAAAGAAAACGAGAAAAGAAAAAAAAAATGATAGACTAAAAATAAGAGTCTCACGTTATAAAACAGAAAACGAGATAAAACGATGACGTCACATGCATATCAAGACATCTCCCGGCCACTTAGAGACATCTCCATTGTCTCTCCTTATCCCGACGTCGACGCAACAGGAGTTAGAGACCAGGACATCTGCTCCTTGAACATGGTGAGTGAGCGTGAATGCGAGTGTGTGTGTGTGCGTGTGCGAGTGTGTGCGTGTGCGTGTGTGTGAGTGTGTGTGTGTGTGTGTGTGTGTGTGTGTATGTGTGTGTGTGTGTGAGTGTGTGTGTGAGTGTGCGAGTGTGTGTGAGTGCGAGTGTGTGTGTGTGTGTGCGAGTGTGTGTGTGTGTGTGAGTGTGTGTGTGTGTCGGTGTCCATGCCGATAAAATGTTATGTGGGATTACTATTCCATTGTTTGTCTTTTCTTTTAGATGTAAGTAGGTATTCCTTTGTGTGTTAAGAAAGGTCGTACTATTCTTTGCAGTTGG